GGTTGGACTAAAGGAGTTGCAATGTGTAAGACGCGTAAGCGTTATAGAGGATGGAAGGTTTCAGCGACGACAACTTAAGTGGCACCAACAGATCAGCAAGCAAGGGGAACAGACCTAAATGAACTATTTGAACTACGCATGCATTTTTTTTTATATTACCAGGCAAGACCCACCAAGCTCTTTTTAAGAAGCGACCTGCCCCACAAATGATAGCTCAACGAAGTGGTTTATCGTGTGGAAATGTACAGCAGCTAAATACTGCAAAAGCATGTTTTCTAATTGTGGAGGGAAAAACCGAAGGACCCGGAGAAAAATCCACACGACCATATGGAGAACATGTAAACTCGAAATATACAGGTGTCAGGGTCGGGATCGAACCCACAACCTCCTGTATACCAGGTGAAGTAGTTAACATCTGGCCACAGTACCAGCGCACCCTAAATAATCACGGGTTTTATAAACGCGGCTTCGCATAATCGCGACACATTGATTGTAGGGCTATTTCAAATTCACAAGGTTGTGTTTTTGATATCTGCGCCCGTAGCACGCTGCCACCCGACAAGAAGTCACGAGGCGCGGGAGCGGCATGGATTGAGTAACCTCCACGCGACGCCGCTCTCCCGCTCAGTCGGCCTCCGACTGCCACACCATTTACACGCTAATGCTCTCCTTTAACAACCGCATTCATTGATATTTGCCCGTTTAAATATGTTTACGCCCATCAAAATTAAAGGCAGGTTAAATGTCACAAAACATGACATATATGTATTCATTCATACATACAGTTAAAATGTAAAAATGTAATATGTTCATGCCCTGTAACCCTATTTTCTTCCTAAGCTTTGAGTATTAATAATCGCGGAATTAACATTCGCGCTGTTCTTCAGGAACGTATACCCCATGAACATTGAGGGGTCACTGTATAGCAGGTGCTAGCGGGCAGTGGCAATGTCCGTGTTAAATATTATCTCGTGTTACAAAGCCGTACGGTAGAGATGACGGCTGTAGAAGTCGTCATGGTGCTGAAGGCCGATGGTGCCGATTAGAACGCAAGAGCAAAGCTTGGGGAAGATGGATGCCAACTGTGCAACAGTCGGTGGGGATCCGGCAGAAGGAAAGAGGCGAAGGCGACGTGTAGTGGCGTCTACAACGTAGGCCGTGAAGACACGATGATTACGGTCCAATTCAGATTTCCGTTAAGCTAATCAAGTGGCGAGGTGAAGAGATGTCCCTTACGGAACTCCCACGGGTGCCACAGCCCAAATCGACGATGATTACGATGATGTAGACGATGATAATGCTGACAACGATGAAGACAATAATGATGGCAATCATCAATGAAAAGCCGAGTCGACCCCTATGACTGTGAGCCAAACATTACAACAAGAGCACCACTCTTGACTGGCTAAATGCACGTGGTCTCCACCTGGGTGGGGCAGTAATTTCCCCCCTTCTTTGGGCCCTGTCGTGCTGAAATGGGGGTTGTTGTTTGTGGAGTTTCTGTTCCCCCTACGTTCTGTGATTGACGTTTTGTACCGGGCTCACGTTGAGTTGTAGTGAAAACAATAAAAACAAATGGCCAAATATCCCAATGCAGGACCCTCCTGAATATTTTCTTGATATTAAAAATATCCACGTTTTCTGCCACATGTCTGCCTTCTCTTGGGGACGTTGGGGGGAGTCACGCTGGGGAATGGAGGGGGTGGGTGGTAGTAACGGCGGTGGTGATCATGAAAGACCCGAGGGAAGGGGAGAAGGTAGGTGCACAAGGGTTGTGTGCGAATGCCACAGCTGTATCTGTGTCTCGCAGAATGGAGTTACAATTAAAAAGCTGTCAAAAGGCCCGGGCTTGCCGGCGTGCTGCTGTGACGTGGCGCGTTAGGGGCTGCCATCTGCCAGCCAGAGATAAGAGAGGTTTCATAATCTGTCTCGGGCTGGTGGGCTCACCGCGTCCCCACCCGCTTGCCCATCCACCCACCCACCCTGCCTGTAAAACCAACCGCTTTTCTCAACCACGAAACGAAACCCAAATGGAGGCTTTATTGTGCCGCTGGATGCATGGAGAGGAGGGGATGGGTCTATTTTTGGTTGGATGGGTAGCTGTGTATGCGCGGATAGGTCGATCAATGTCTATTTGTGTATGTATGTATGTGTGTTGTCTGACTTTTGTCAGTCACGTAAGTCAACCCATGGCACCTGGGTCTGTCCCGAGACTTCCTGTCAGCGAGCCTTCGACACTTCACCTGGCCTCAAAGTGCACCTAGCCTGGCAAAAGAGCTGTGGTGATGTCACCGCCACTTAGTGGTGACTGCTGCTGTTGTATATATCATGTGGCCTTCAAAGGTGCTCGCTAACAGGACCATCCCCAATAGGTTGTATAGGCTACACAGGGGATCTATGTCTTTGCATATGTGCAATGGGGGGTAGTAGTCTAGTTGTTAGAATTAAGCCAAGTGTTATAAAGCAAGCACCTCTAAAGGCAAGTGCAGCATTTGAAGGATTAGAGTGGCCAGCACTATCCCTGGCTACTTTTGTCCCTCCACTACTGATATTTGCACATTACAGTAGGTCCTCATTTAAGGCCTACAAGTTGGCCTTTAGTCACATCTGCAGAATAACATTTTTGCTACCTGCTGCACTTATTTTAATCTATACTTTCATTTGTTGAAATCAAGAGGTAGAGTAATGCTTGAAACACTTCTCTATATGCAGTTGGAATATTAATTTTTAAAAGTCACTGTCATAATTTTTAGAGTTGGCGAGTTTGTTTTTTTGAGCCTCATTTAATTCGAGGTCACTGATTTGGCCTTTCTCTCGAGGCATTGCCCCTTCCTCTTCAGGCCCTACCTCTTCCTGTTTAGACCCTGCCCTTCTTCCTCTTTAAGCCCCGACCCTTCCTCTTTAGGCCCCACCCCCTCCTCTTTAGGCCCCGCCCATTTGTCTTTTGCCCATGCCCGTCCTCCACGCACAGGTTCGGGCTTGTTTTGGGTTTGTATTTTTGAAAAGGAGTGCCGCTTCTTTTCCCTGCAAGACTTGGTAACTCTGGTTAAAAAGCTAAGTTCATTTGAGTGAGACAGCATGACGTGGGTGGTGGTGGGGGTTGTGGAAGGTGGGGGGGGGGGTGAGTGCGCGCGCAACAGGGAGCAGTAGTGAGCGGCTTTATGACAAAGACTAAAATTCCTCTTAGCGCAATATAATATAGCTTCCTCTTCAGAGAGGCACGCGACAGATTAAGATACTAGTCTCCACTGAAGGTATCCATGGCCATGTATTACAACAAGGCCGCCAGCAGTGAAGCACACTGCATGGGCAACTATGCCACAGCTCCTCACAGTATCCACACACACACGTGAAAATACGACAAACCCATAAAAACACGTGCGATTGATACCAACAACCCTTCCTTCTGTCTGCCTCATGCCTTCATTTGGACTCGGATCTGCATTTGTCTTTCAAGCTCGTCTAATTTTCGAGTGAGGCTACACTTCCCGATTTTTTATTGAGTGCCTTTCGCGTCGATTCTGTTCTAGGCAAAGTCTAACTGCACTATTATGTAACGAACGGGGTACCGCACAATTCAGTTGAGGCTATCTGATAATAGCTGCAGGTTTCACCCAGAGGCTCTTCAAAACAAGGGTATTTAGAGATCACAGCACAAGACAGAAATCGCTAGAAACACCTATCCAAGCGAACTCATCTCCCCGCTCACACGACTGTGAGGCATGTGCTTATCGTTGTCGACGACCGTGCTGAACCAAACGTGGAAATTACACATTTAAATTGCAAGGGCTGGTTAGCCCGAAGGACAACGGATAATGACTCTCTCTCATGTGGAAGCCATTTTATTGACCCCAGACCAGGATTTGAACTCATGTTTTCCTTCTGCGAGCCCGGCGGTTGAGCGTGAACAACGGTGGCAGCCTCGCTTTGATTCCACACGGGCAATGCTCCCTAGAATATTGTGCTATTCTACATGTGCGCAGGCACGCGCTCGCTCCTACATGCGCACATCAGGGATTTGTCCATAATACACATGCAGCATACAAAGCCGCACAAAAGACAACACAAACAGCCCCTTGTTATCCCGGGTAACCTGTTGGGCTGAGCGGCGTTATAGAGCATCTATTGTGTCCGGCTTGGCATTACAGAGTGGTCTGCTCAGCGCCACCTGGCTGCACATTTGGCCACGTTCATCTCAAGCTCAGTGTTGCTGATGTTAATGACCACGACACTACCACTGGTCACCAGACCAAGAGCACTCATTATTTTAGGCAGAGTTAGCCTAGAAGCGACTCAACCTCTATTCGGGAACAGATTGGTATTGTGGTGGGTGTCGGGAGTATAAGGCTATGCTAAAGATGCTAGAGGACACGGTGAGTGACTTGAGATTTGGAATGGAACACAATACGTGAAAACACGAACACATGACCAGGAAGAGGATGTCGCTATAATAATAAGTTAGAACATTTGATATTCGTAGCATTCTTCTATCACAGGGCTAAAACGAAGGCGCTGTTTCACAGATGGGTATAGTCTACCAGTAAGGGAGCAATGTTGCTATCCTAATTGAGTAATTTGCAGGTAATTTTTAAAATTTGGACCATGATGCGGGCACACAACAGCCTACTCGTTTCAAATCACGCCAGATTCCAAAAAAAAAAGTTTCCCCGTATAGCCTTTTTACAGACTGTTGGGGCCGGTGCTGTAAATGAGCACCTATAAAGGTCAGCACAAGACACATGAGGGAGGGGGTGGCCAGCATCACACCCAACTGCCTTCCTCTCCTCAGTGCTCATGTTTGCACGCCAAACTAGGCACTAATTTAAAGCTGAGCTGATCTAGGGGGATGCCCAGGACCAGTTCAATTATTTGTCAATTATTGGTCCGTGAGTGGGAATCAAACTCAGGCCGCTGGGTTTGTAGCGCAGTGCACTAACCCTTATACTACCCGCTCCCCACTTTGGCAGATGCACACACACGCACGTGCAAGCAACTCGTACCTTGCAATGGAGTGAAGGAACAGGAAGTCGTTGTCGGGAGAGCTGGGAATTTTGCTGAACTCCGTGAACTTTTTTGGCGTTGCAATCTTGATGCCCTTGAGAATGGTCTCCATCTCTTTGGTTAGGTTGCTGGTGGTCTGCAATGCAAGGTCGAGAGAAAACGCATCCTGTTTTGATAACAAAGTCATTTGTGAAAGGTAAAAGTGCAGCCCTGCGATTGCCAGCTCACGCCACTGCTGGCTGAACAGCCTCCACTCGAGGTAGCTCTAGAGAGCCGACCCTGAGTGCAATTTGCCCTCTTCTTCCACACTGACCAGACATCCTGAAAGAGCTACATCATGAGACCTCCTTTGCCAGTACCAAAATATGAGAATAGGTTTTTCCCCTTTTTTCTGGAAACAAAACAGGTTTTAAGTTGTTAAAACACCAAACTTTTTACAAGGAATCATGTCTGCATTAACCACAATACTTGTGGTCAGAATGCAAACAAAAAACATACTTTGATAATATATGCATTGTCTTTGAAACCGATTGGTCCACACCAGAGACAGCTTTCTTTTGAGCCTCATCTCAAACGGTGAGGCTCTGCATTGTCCTTTCAGGGAAACCTTTGTTTCTGACGCTGACATTCTGGGTTTCAGCTATGGTACTGGGTGCCTCTCAATAGGTTCATGTCTGTGTCAAACCACTAATCAAACACCTCTGAGGTTATGGGTTTGAGCCCTAAGGCAGGGTATTTCTCAGGGGGCTGACGCCTGACCCAAGCCTTGAAGTCAAAACCTGGAGAGGTCCTGGGTTCAAGCCCTGGGGCTGAACATTTGTCGTGAGAATCAATCGGCTTATGTAGTCCAATAAAATGACAATTTTAAAATGTCACCTCTCTTTGGGGTCAAACAAACGGTGACAGCACGGGAGCTTCCTAAACGGCACCATTCAAACTGAGTTATCGATGGCAGAGAATTCTGTGCTTTGGACGCATTTTGGCTGATTGTGGACAGTCAATACGTGATGCTGGTCATATCGCCACATCACAGTGGTGAGATGTTAACTACCTCACTTGGTATGCAGGAGGTCGTGGGTTTGATTCCGACCCTGATGCCTATATATTTGGAGTTTGTGTGTTCTCCCCGTGGTCGTGTGGATTTGTCTCCGGGTCCTCCGATTTTTCCCTCCACTTTCCACATGATAAGCCACGTCGTTGAGCTATCATTTGTGGCCAGATCGCTTCTGAAAAAACAACTATATAGCTCAGCGGGCATTACCTGAACAAAATAAAAATAGTTAAAAAATAGTTTAGTTTACATCGTGTGCTGTGCTGGCTTTATTGGCGGCTGTTGAGAGAGCCTTCAGCAAGAGTGCACGAGGCCGAGTGCGAGACCACTATGGCCGTGTTGTATGGCAGGCAGTGCCAGCGCAGTGTTCAGTGGACTTCGCCACAAATCCCGTGACCCGAGTTCGATTCCCGCTCACAGCCAACATCGGTGACAGATATCTGAACTGGTCATGGGCCTCCCTCCTATGTCGACTCAGCCTTAAATGAGTACCTAGTGTGATGTGTAAACATCATCACGGGGGAGACAAAGGCGGCCGGGCACGGTGCTGGCCAGCCACCCCCTCTCGTGTGCCATTCTTGCTTTCATAGGTGCTGGACATTGGGCATTTAGCTGCTGAACGTATTGCTGCCATCATACGCGATAACTGAAAACAAGTTAACAAAAGCTCAACTCTCGCGTCAGCTGCTATTTAAGAAACAGACGACGCGACAAGTTACGCAAGCAGTTAAGCGATTTTTAGCGGTGGGAAAAATGATCACATCAGCTAAAAATAGCGCAAAGGCAGGAGGAAATGTGTTTCAAAAGGGTAAAGTTTTATTTTGTCTGGGGGCGGACAGGTTCGCGGGTTTTCCCGCTGGGATGTGGCTACTGCCCAGGCACGTCAAGCAAAACCCCGCTATTTTCATCGCTTCAATTTGTCATTTTAATTAGTTTGCCCTTTAAAGCCCCCTTGGGGTGGGACCCTCTATAATGTTCCTAAACGTGTGCTATTACTCAGGGGGAGGGTGCGGATGGCAGGCGGTCGGGGGCTGTGGCAGCGGCGGTGGTTATTCGTAGGGGAAAGAGGTGAGTGTGTAAAGGTGCGGATGAGAGAGCAAGCGTGCGAGTGGGGGTGCGACTGAGTGAATGAGTGAATCAATGAGTGTGTGTGAATTAATTGACAAACGTGTGAACGAGTAAATTAATAGGAGAACAAGTGAGTCGGTGAGCGAGTGTGCGAATGAAAGAATGAGTGAGATGTGAACGAGTGAGTGAATAAGACAGCGAGTCAGCGCGCCAGTGAGTGAGTGTCCGAGTTCATGTGCGAGTGCCGCAAGAGGGAGAGTGCATTGGTGAGAGAAAGTGCGGAAGAACGAGTCTGCAGATGAGTGCGCATGTAAGTGAGCGTGCGGCTTCGTGAACGACCGAAAGGGTGTGGCAACGAATGACCACGTGAACGCACAGGTACATAAATGAGCGTGTGAATGAATGAGCACTTCGACAAGTACACGATCCAACGAGCGAGCGAGCGAGCGTGCACGTTAATGCGTGAGTGTGTCAAAGAGAAAGTGTAACAGCGAGGGTGTGAATGGGCATCAGTGGAGGTGCTATCGAGCGTGCAGCCAACAGCACTGAGGGCCCAACGGGCCGGCAGAGCCCAGCCATCAAGCTACAAAGCCGGGGGGGGGGGGGGTATTGGGGGGGGGGGGGTGTGGGAGAATTTCATTCTTCGCCACCAGGGCTCATGCCAACCACATTAGGCCATTGATGGCCAAGTAAATCACCAAACATCGCAATTGATTGTGTAACAAATGAGTAATGAATGAGCGCATGCATCGTTATTGCTAGAATGCAAACACATAATACGAATAACATAGAGGAGGAATAATAAGAAGAAAAATAACAACGTTCACAGCTGCGACTCACCAGGATTCAGCGTAAATGCTCAACACTCGGAGGCAAACGAAGACAAATCAAAAATAATTATTACCCGTGGCAGATCTGTCCCAAGTTGGTCTGTACTCCCGCAAAATAGCTTTGAAAAGGAATGTCTAAAAGTCGTTCATGGAATGAGTCATTCTAATAACACTCAATGTCATTTCCTTCTCAAATAAGCATTGAAGTGGTGCTCATCTTCTGAGCCAGTGGTGGAAAATCCACATTGCTAAAGCGGGGGTGACTCTATCCAAAAGTGCAGCTACTGTTGAGTTCCCCATGACATGGTATTCATTTTTATCGACCCCAGAGAGATGATGGGCTGTTTCAACCCCCAATCAGGATTTGAACTTGTGACCTTCCAATTGTGAGCCACTCGCTCTGCCTCTGAATCACCTGACCGGGTCATACTAATACTTTAATTGACTATTCAAACACTATCTCATAAGACCTCCTTTGCCAGTACCAAAATGTAATAATAGGGTTTTTCCCCTTTTTTTCTGGCAACAAAACTGAAACCTTTTTACAAGGATTCATGTCTGTATTAACCACAATACCTGCAGTCAAAATGCAAACAAAAAACATACTATGATAATATATGCATTGTCCTTGAAACTGATTGGTCCACACCAAGGGACGGCTTTCTTTTGAGCCTCGACCCAATTGGTGCTCGACCAGATGACGTCAAAATTATTACATTTTGGTACTGGCAAAGGAGGTCTAATGATGTAGATGCTCACCCCAAGCCCTCATTACTTTGATAGTGCATTGTCTTTGAGCTGTACGCCTTTTGGCGTCATCTGGTCGAGCACCAATTGGGTCGAGGCTCAAAAGAAAGCCGTCCCTTGGTGTGGACCAATCAGTTTCAAGGACAATGCATATATTATCATAGTATGTTTTTGTTTGCATTTTGACTGCAGGTATTGTAGTTAATGCAGACATGAATCCTTGTAAAAAGGTTTCAGTTTTGTTGCCAGAAAAAAAGGGGAAAAACCCTATTATTATATTCAAACACTAGTCAATGAAAGTACAGTCTAATTGCATCATTGCTCAAAATGACAAGACAGACACTCTCAAACCTATTGGCAGCCCTGCACCAATGGTATAAATTCCACATTCTTATGACCAAGTACAATATGTACACAGCACTACTAATTAAGAGTACCTGAATAGAATTTGCATGGTGACATCAGCTTAAGCGCATTTTTTTGCCAAGATGTTATTTAAAAGCCTTGTGAGATGCAATCAATTCAAAATGCATTTACTAATTCAGGAACATTGGTGGCCAAACACTGCTAATTTATTTCTGCTTTTCAAGAGAATATTTCTTTTTTTAAACTATTCTAGCAATTTCCAATTTATTTTTACATTGTTCAAATTTATAAATCAATTTAAAAAGCACTTAAGAGGGAAAAATACGTGCAGGCCAAACTGCAAGCATTATTCTTATTGTAATCTACCAGAGGCATGATACACTGTTTATAATATAAAATGTAAACTTTTAAACCATTTCCATTTCAATTTCACATTTCTCTATACATGAAAACCATCCACAACTACAAGGAAAACTAAAATATTCTCATTATAATTCGAAAGAAATGCTCTGTCTGATCCAAAAGAAAACGTAATTACAATCCTGAACCTTTTTCAAGTAAAGTTAAAGTGTCTACCCCTTCTCAAGCAGGTGTGAGCTACCACTCATATCATTTTGCTTGCCATGAGCAGTTGTGGAAACTCCACATCGCCAAGTTGGGGACCCAAATATGCATAGGGTGATCACTGTTAACTTCCCACAAAGTGCTAGTAATTTTATCGATCTAGGAGGAATAACTGATGATGCCCATTCTCTTCCTCTTCCCTCACCCATCCCTCCATTCTGTCCCTCCCCTCCCCTTTCCCAACCTCTACTCACCCTCTATCGTGGTTGCCGATTCCTCATCCCTTGCACGTGCCTGCCATCTAAATAATTTATTTGTAACGTGTTTTTTATTATTATGTTAAGCGCCTTACCCAAAGGCACTCTATGAATATAAAATAAGACTAGATTATCACTTGAAGTGACTCCCGATCAGGATTCGAACTCATAACTTTCCGATTGTGAGTGCAGCCCCTCTAAAAAAACACCCAGCATAACAACCTGAGCATTACATTTGTTCTGAGATATTTCG